ATAAATATATGCAATCTTTTTATTAGGTTTTTTTCTTAGATTCATATTTTTAAGATTTGGTTTATGATAAAATAAATTAAAATCATAAATTTGATAATAATTAAAATTTTTAGAATTAGTTTACTAATACAATTTATGAATAAAAATAAATAAATTTTGCTAAAAATACTATTTATTTAAAAAAAAAAAGAAATTTGAATTTTAATTAAAGTGATTAATATGATAATTTATAGTTTTATTAGAAAAATTAATTATTTGATGAAATACAATATATGAAATCACTATAATTGTTAAAAAGTTAGTTAAAAATATAAATTAATTAAAATTAAGAAAGAAAATCATTTACGAATATTTAAAAAGTAATTTTTTTAAAATTATAATAAAATATATTAAATAAGGGTTTGATTATTTAAAATGACGAATTAAAAATTTAATAAATAAAATAATTATGTCATGAAAATTAATAAAAAATATCTTTAAAATAAAAATTTTATTTCATAGAGAAAACAAAAAATTTTAACTTAAAAAATAATTAAAAACAGTATATTAATATTATTTAAGTTAGTTAAAAGAGCACGAAAAGTAAAAAAGATTAGAAAATTAATAATAAGAGCATAAAAAACTTATAGAAGTGAAATTTAATTTTAAAGAATAGCCAGATATTAATTAATAACAAATAATATCAGAAACATAAAATTAAATATAAAAAGATCAAGAAAAAATTAGTATCTAAAAGTCTTCTTAAACTGAAAATAATAAGTAATAGTAATAATTGTATAAAAAAACAAGTTTAAATTATTAATTATTAAAAGGAGTGAGCAAAGAATTTAGTAGAAAATCAATTAGCTATTTAAAATAGCAAAAATCATAATATTTTAAATAAAACAATTAAATTGGAAATATATCAGATATCTAAAATAATTAATTATAATATTTAAATAAATCTAATAAAGTTATTAAAATGATAGCTACTGATGTATAATAAAAACTTTAAACAACTTAAGAAGATTATAAAATTTCTAAGAACATAATTAAAAAAAATAAGAAAAAATAAAATAATAATTTTATGGAAGAGTATTTAATTTTTTTATACTATTTTTTATTTTATAAAAGAATTACTTCAAAATTTAAATAGCTAAGGAAAAGTACTTTCTAGACTAAAGAAATTATTTTTTAAGCTAATAACCTTTCTTTTGCAGATATTGGATAAAAAGTTATATAAAATAAAAAATAATATTCAAAATTATGAAGTTAAAAATATTTTATAATTATATAAAACATTATATATTTTTTTTTTATTTATAATAAAATAAACAATATATTTTCTACGTTTTTTTCAATATAAATTAATTATTAATTTTAGTTTTATTTATTTTTTTAATCAGAGCTTAACTAAAAAATAATTAAATAAAATAATTATTTTCTCGATTATAAAAATAAAAAAAAAATATAATTAATTAAAATGATTAAGATTATAAAAAAGAAAAATATAATGTCATAATAACCTAATTTTTCAGATAATAATAATATAGAAAATGAAAAGAAAAATTAAATAATAAACGGAAGATGGACTCCTGAAGAGCATTAAAAATTTATTGAAGGTATAAGGCTTTATAATAAGAATTGGAAAAAAGTTGAAGAACATATCGGAACCAGAACAGGAGCCTAAATTAGATCTCATGCGTAAAAGTATTTTAATAAACTTGGAATTGATCCAGCAAGTAAAATATAGTTTGATGAAATTTAATTTAAATTACAATCTGAAGATAAAATTTAATAAACGAATAAGGAAAAAATAAATGCTTTAACAAAATAATAAAGTGAAAAACTTTAAAATTAATAAGAAAATAAAAGAAAAAATAACTGGAAAAAAAATTTAGAAGAATAAAAAATTTCAAATAGTTCTACTTATTTTTAGAAAATGGATGGTAAAAACATAAAATATTTTTTTAATTATAACTATATAAATATATAAATAATATATATATAAATATTTATATAAATTTAATTATACATTTATATATATAAAATATATATATTTATTATATTTATATAAATATATATACTTATTATATTTATATAAATATTTTAATTACAAATTTTTTATATTTTGTCTAAACTTTTATATATTATTTATTTTAATTTAATTTAATTTAATTTATTTTTATTTTTTATTTTTTAATAAGAAGATAATTTTAAAAATAATACACATTAAGAAAATAGTAATAAAATATTAAAATATTTTTATATAAATAATTTCTTATATTTTTATTTTATTTAATAAATTAATTTATAAAGATTTTAATTTTTAAAATTAATAATATTTTTAAATTAAAATTCTAAATTATCCTATAAAACTAATAATATTGAAATAAATGTTCCTAATAATAGTAACCATTGCTTTTAAGAAATATTTAATAATAATTTATCATATATAGATATTCATTAATAAAATAGTAGAAAACTTGAAAATGTTTAGCTTCAAGATTGTAATGAAATGTATAAATTTTAAAAAAATTAAGGTAATAAATTATTTTTAAAAAATAATAAATAATTTTTAATATTTAATATTTAGTTTTTTAAAATGATAATTTTTAAATGAATGATTAAATTATTTAAAAGTATATTTTATTTATTAACTTTATTGTTTATATATTTCATTTATATTAGTTAATATGAAGAAAATAGTATTCAAGAATAAAAAAGGATAAGAAAAGTATCAATTGAAGATTGCAGGTTAGTAAATTATCATAATTATAATAATTTTACGATCGACTATTGAAAAATAATATAAATTCAAAATTATTTATAAAATTAAATAATAAATTTAATATTTAATTATTATATTTAATTAGAGTTTTTTAAAAAATAAAGATAATAATAAAATCGTAATGTACTTTATATTAAATATTTGTTGTAGGAAAGATATTTAACTTCTTTTTATTTTTAAATATTATTTTATGTATTTATTTAGAATATAATAAATTGTCATTTTTATAATAATATAATTATTACATCAATATTTTTAAAAATTAATTAATTAATATATAAATATTTTAAATTATATTAAAATTTTTATTTCAACTTTCTTATATTTTTATTTTTACAATAATTTTTTTAAAAAAATTAATAAACTAAAAAAAAAGCATTTAATCATTTTTAATTTATAAAAAAAAATTTTATAATTAAAAGTATTTTTTTTGAATTTTTTAAAAGGTAGAAAAAATAAAAAACCAATATTAATTAGTAATAATATGTAAAAAAATATTGATTTTTATTTAATATTTTTTTAAAAAATATGTTAATTTTTTTTTCATTTAATCATAAGCCTAAATTTTCTTTTTTTACCAGCTCTCTATACAGCTTTTTATTAGCATTTAGATTAGCATTACATATATTTTTATCACTATTTAAATAAAAATTAAAAAATATTAATATTATAAATATTTAACTCTTCTAAAACTTTATCACTAAGTCTTTAATTTCTTTTTTTGCTAGTTTTAAATTCAAAATATTATATTTAAGCTCTATTAATATTAATATAAATTAAGAATTAATATAAATATTTTTTTTTAAAAAAACCTTATTTTTCTTCCTTAAATTTCCATATTTTAGATATAATTTTAAAATTATTCTGCTTAATCAGCTCTTTCAAATTTAACCATACAATATCCTTTGTTTTTGGTTTCATCATGACTTTTTGGCATATTAATATATAATACATTTCCGAAATCTTCGGCAATTTCTAATATATCTTATTCAATAATTGTATGTGCTAGATTTGCTAAATATACCTATTTTATATTACTTTCAACATTTAAAGTTGTTTTTTTAGTTCTTAATTAAAATGGTTTCATTGCTATAATTTAAGTCACTTCTATTGTTTCAATAACATTTTTATTATATTTATCTAAATATTAATCACAAATTTTTTGTTTTTAAATCTAATTAATGCCCTTCCAGTATATTCTCCTATGCGATTTTTTAATAGTTATACATCTTAAATATTTTTATTTTATGGATCAAAATATTCTTTAAGTTTTTATTCATTCCAATCTAATGGAAGGGCATGACAATAGGCTAAATTTAAATTTTTATTATCTAATGATGATAATGCCTTTATTTATGTACCCTTATATGGTTAATTTACTGTTTTTAATTTTGGAGGTGGTACTATATTTTTTATTTGATTACAAAATAATTTTGTAATTTTAAATATCATGATTATTTTAAAAAAATTATATTAAATATATTCATATCCTATAAAATTAATTATTTTAGTATTTGAATTTATTTAAAAAAAATAAGATTTTTAATTATAATTAAATTATTATAAGCATACATATGTAATAAAATAACATTATTAAACATTAAAAATAATAATCATTATTTATATATAATATTTAGCTTAACATATGTGTATTTTATATCAATAGAAATAATTTTTTAATTTTGTAAATTTCAAAAAATTACATATATGCAAAAAACATGTAATATTACTTAATCATAAATTTGTTTATTTTTAATGCAATTTTTTAAAAAGACTACTCAAAAAAAATATATATATATATATAATACCCTTGTTTTTTTATTGAATTTATCAAAAAATATGTAAATAATTAATTTATACTTTTGAGTTAATATTATAATATAAATACTTATTATATTAGTTATCATATATGTTTATTATACTATTAACTATTTATTCTATTTTTAAATTAATAAAGAAAAAAATAAAAAATACAAAAAATTAAAAATAAAAAAGAATGGATTCAATAAAAAATTTTTTTAATTCAATATATATTCCAAAACATGAAGATTTTGAAAAATATGGTTACATAACTCCTTAATAATTTGAAGAAGCAGGAGATTAATTAATAGCAGTAGGATGGAAATGGAACACAGCAATAGATAAATAAAGATAAAATAAAAATTTAAAGAATTCAAATAAATAGTTTCTATCCACAAAAGGTCGCTCCACTTAAAGAATTAAAGATATAATGAATGAATAGTATAATGAAGTTGTTGAGAAAAACGGATTTTTAACAATGAGTGATAATAAAAATAATACTGATAACAATAATTAAAATAATAATAATGATAATAATGATGAATTTATTGCTATTCCTTGCAGAACTTATGATATTTCTATTACTTATGATGAATATTATCACACCCCTAGAATGTGGCTTTCTGGCACAAATGAAGATGGAAAACCTTTAAATACATAATAGATTTTAGAAGATATTATGTCTGAATATTAAGGAGAAACAGTAATATTTTAATTATATTTAATATATTTCTTTTTATTTACTAAGGTAACTCCAGAAGAACATCCACACTTAGGACTTAAATAAGTAACTATTCATCCTTGTAAGCATTCTTAAGTTTTAAAGGCTTTTATTGAAAAAGCTAAAGAGAATAAAGTCAATTTAAAACCTAATTAATGCTTGCTTATATTTCTTAAGTTTATGAGTTCTGTTATGCCAACTATAGAATATGATGCTACTACTGATCTTTTATTTGATTAAATTTGATAAATTTAATTTTATTTATAAATTTTTTTATAAAAAAAATACATTAAAATAAAATAATATTGAGAGAAAAATAAAAGTATTATGATAATAGTTAAAAAATAACTATAATATATAATAATAAATTAAAATTAAATCATTTTAGTTAATGTAAATTCATAAAAATTAAGTTCATTTCATTATTTATATATTTTATATAAAATTATAAATAAAAAGTAAAAAAAAAATGTTTTATACAATATAAATTATTTAAAAAAAAAAAAATATATAATATATGATATATATACTGTATAAAATAAAAATTTAAATAATAATAATATATTAATAAAAAAAAATTTGATATAATTAATAATTTCGAAAAATATTAAAAAAAAAAAATATAAAAAAAAATAATAAGAAATATTAATATTAAAATTAATGTAAAAATATTTCTATAATAATTAATATAAAAATTATTATTATTTATTTATTTTTTTATATTATTATTATTTATTTATTTTTTTATTTATTTTTTTATTTATTTTTTTATTTTATTTATGCTTTTAAAATTATATATATATATTAAATTTATATTATTTTATTTTTAATATAAAATTAAATAATTTTTATTATTTTTTTTATTTTTATTTTATTATATTAAAATTTTATTTTATAACATGTATATAAAAATATTTTTTTTACATTAATAATATAAAATTATTAACTTAATAGTTAGAATTTAAATCAATTATTATTTAAATTTATAAAATAATTCAAATAAAAAAATAATTTTTTTTTTTTCTTATAATAATAATAAATGCTAATTTTAATTTTTTTTAATATATTTGATATAAAAATTTGATAAAAAATTATAATAATAATAAATAAAGATATTAAAAATTTTATAAGTAATAATTAAAATTTATTTAAAATATACATTTAATTATTTTTTATTTAAAATTTTAATAATAAAAATTTTTCTTTAAATAAAATTTAAAAATTTATGATATAAAGTAAAACAAATTATCAAATAAATTTTTAAAAAAATGTTAAAAATAAATATACTAATAATTTAAATATACATCCTAATTTTGAGAATAACCCTAATACGCACTTAATGTCCATAAATTTCTAATTGCTTATAATGTGATTAACAGCAAATCTGTACATAATGTAACTAAGATTTTGTTTACTCAAAAGAAGATAATGAATGCCTTCCAAACTCTTTGTGTCCAATAGGTTAGTTCAAATTATAATACGATGGATAATGTTTAGAATGCGACTCATTATGTAAATATTGCATAAATGCAAAATTATGTACATAGTGTGTTGATGGATACACATTTTAATATGATAATTTTTCTTTATAATGGTAATGTGTTACTTGTTTTGTAGATTTTTGTGAAAAATGTGATCCTGATGGAAAATGTTTGAGATGTTAAGATGGCTATGTAATATCCTAAATAGAAAACAAATGTATTCCTTGTATTTCTAATTGTAAAAAATGCGATTCCGATATTAATCAATGTGACGAATGCTATTCTTCTTATTAATTTTCTTAATAAAAATGTATTCTTGTAGGAAATTGTATAATAGGAAAATTTCAATAAGGCAATTAATGTAATGGATAATGTGATATTTCATGCAAGCATTGTATCTAATTTAGCCAAAACTGTCTTGAATGTGCTGAAGGCTATTTTTTTTTGGACAATGTATGTACAAAATGTTCATCAGAATGCAAAACATGTAAATTCTAAGCAAATAATTGTCTCTCCTGTATTTTTCCTTAAAGACTAAGAGGAAGAAAATGTGTATAAAGTTGCCTTATAAATGAATATTTATCTAGAAAAGAAGGAAGATGTGAACTATGCCCTTAAGGTTGCTCAAAATGTACAGGAAAAGTTAATCTATATTTTATTTTTATTTTAAAATAAATAAATTATATTATAAATATAGAATTACTGTACAGAATGTAAAGACTCAAAAAATTAAATTCTAACATATGGATAATGTAAATTTGTTTGTGAAGATGGAAAATTCTTATTCAACCCCCCAAACGATTGTCGTTAATGTCCTTCATAATGCCTGACTTGTATATAAGATTAAAATGATTTTGGGTGCACTTCATGTCAATAAGGAATGTTCTTGCACTTGTCAACATGTGTCACTTCATGTCCTAATGGTTATTATCCAGATTATGATTATATTTAGAATATAAGAATATGTACTTAATGCGATTTTCCATGCTTTAAATGTAAAGATGATAAAATATGTACTTCATGTGTTATTGGTTTTGTTTTGATTAATGATCAGTGTTATTTTAAAGGATTTTCTATAGGGAAATGTGATGAAAATTAATTAAATTTTGGTAATTTATGTTTAGATAAATGTCCTAGTGGTTCTATTATTAATGGTAAGTCTTGTGTCTGTGATTTAAGTTGTAATTTTTGTGGATTGTTTTTAAAAGAATTATATTTGGAATGTTATTAATGTAAAGATGCTTCTTATTTTGTTTATTAAGCTAAATGTGTTTAATAGTAATAAAATATATTATTTTTAGATATATTTTTTAATAAATTAATTTAAATAAATAAGATGCCCCCCAAATACTTACATAACTGACTCTATATAGTAAATTAATAATGGATAAACTTTTCAATATTAAGAATGTGTTGAAAGTTGCCCTGATGGACTTTATTCAATTACAGACTAAGTTTCATAGAGGTGTAGTAAAACTTGTCCAACAAATTATTAATTAATTGATAAAAAGCTTTGCTTAAATTTTAATTGTAATTAAGGCTACTGGTTTGACTTTTAATCTTATTCAATAGATAAAACATAGCCATAGGATTCTTATTGTAAACTTTGTGATGAAAGTTGTAAAATATGTGAAGGACCAAATAGTAAATTTTATTATTTAAAAAATAAAAAAATAAAAAAAGTTAATGATTGTATCTCATGTAATGATTTATATTTAAAAACAACAATTATTTCGTCAAAGGGAACAGATATATTATGTTCAAAATAATGCTAAATAGGATATATATTATCATAAAATAATTTAGAATGTATATTATGTGAAAAGAATTGTCAAGCATGCGCTTTGGGAATGTTTTAATACCAATATGATTGTTATTAATAATGTCCTTTAGGCACAATATTAAACTTAGTAACAAGACAATGCACAACATACGTATATTTAGATATAATATTAGAAGGAGATAACATAAATGGAATATTTTCTCCTTAAAATACTTTAAAAATAACTTTTATAATAGAAACAGGAACAAATACTTCTATATTAGAACCTTAATGCTTTTGTGAACCAAATATTCCTTTATCTAAAATGTTTACTGATTAGAATTATTCTAAATATTATTTCCAAATTCAAAGGGAATTTTTTACTTAAAATTAAAAAGAAAATTACAGTATTGTATGTTCTGCATTAATAGAAAATTCAACGTATAAAAAAACAGTGCCTTTTAGTATTTTAACAGCTTAAGAAGGATAAACTACTGTTGATAAAAATTAAGGAGTGGCAGAAGAAGACACATTCAAATTCAAAATTTAAAATTATGATTTTAAAAATGTAGATTTTACAAGTTAATTTGTCTTTTAATAATTAATTTGGTAAATATAAACTGTTAATAATGGATTTTAAAATATTACTTTATTTAGCCAATAAAAAAAAAAAATAGTTTAAAACATTGATTTAAAATTCCCTATTATTCCATTTAATTAAGACACATAAATTTTTATTTAAATAGATAATATTTATGTTTAAAAAATTTTCTAAGGTCCTATTATTTATTTACAAACTAAATAAAAAAATAATAATGATGAAAATGCTACTACTACTTTATATTAAAATAATATATTTTAGTAATTCTTTAAAGATATATAATTAAATAATAATAATTAACTAGATTTTAAAACAACTCAATAATTAATTTATTATATAAAAACTTTTTAAAAATAGTCTATTATGACTTATAAAGATTAAAAAAATTATTATTTAAATAAAATGTACAATAATAATAATTAAAATAAACTTTGCAAGTAAATTAATCATTGTTCGAATAATGGAAAATGTAAATAATAATAAAGTTCATACTACCATAAATGTGATTGTAATTAAAATTACTCAGGAGAAAAATGTTAATGGTTAGACTAAGATTTATAAACTATCCAAAAATATATTAAAGAGTATTTAGAAAACTATATTTCTTCTCAGTATTTAGAAAGTAATTAAGAGTAATTTAAAATAATAAATAAATAAATAATTTATAATTTGAAAAAAAAAAAAAATAAGAAAAATTAATTAGTTAAATGATTTATTAAATATAAGAGATATATTAAACGAAGACTCATCGTAATTTATTATTAATATAATAAATTAGCAATAATTTTACCAGTTTAATACTCAATAAACCTTATAATATTGTAAAACTTTATTATCTATGAATGATAAAGCAATGCATTTACTAAATAAATACTAAGATAAAATAGGTTCTGATTAGTCTAATTTTCAAAATCTTAATAATAATATAATACAATCTTTATTTTAATATAAACAAAATATTCAAATATCAATAGTTTGAATTAAAATTTTGAATTAGTTAATCTAAATATTTAAATAAAAGAATTAAGTGATATTTTATATTTTTATTAATAACAATAAGATATGTTTTTAATCACTGAACTAAATGATATAATTATTTAAATACCCAAAACATTATTTCCTGGTTTAGATGCATTAGATTTATATTTATAATTAATTTAATGGCCAATTTATTTAGAAAATTAAATTTAATAATCATAACATGAAATCATAATTTCTAATATCCTGTAAGTGTCTATATTTAATAAAACATAACCAAACTTATAATATGATATGAAAAATACTTAACAATAGATTATTCTTACTATTCCAAAATTAGTAATATATAAAATATTAAAAATAAAATTTTATTAATTTTTAAAATAAATAAGATTAACGAAAAATAAATATAGAAAAATAAAAATTTAAAGTTAGTATGCTTATAAAAATAAGAAAATTAATAAAACTGGTCATATTAATAAATATAAGAAAGATTTTCGAATGATTTGTTTGTAGATTGTTTAAAAAACAATTATAGTTAATTTTCTTTAGGACTAACTTAAGAAGATAATAGTAAAACAAACGTTATAATTAAATTATTAGTAGTGTCTAATGTAATTGTGATTATTTTATTTTCTCATGTTTTATCATATTTAAAATTTAGAAACAATAAAAAAATATATTAAAATATAAAAATAGATGATTCGCCTATTTAAATAAATTAAAATTTTTAAATGAGATAAAAATAGATGTCTAAATAAAATGATAATTTTATTTTGGAATAAAATATACCAGAAAATAATAATAATAATAATAATAATAATAATAATAATAATAATAATTATAATAATAATAATAATAATAATAATAATAATAAATATAATACAGATACAAAAAATTTAAATTAACTAATTCCTATAAATAATCTTATTATATAGCCATTAGAATTAATTTCAGAAAAATAGCATTAATAGCCATAGTTTGCATAAATATAATAAAATATTGCTTACCCTTAACAATCTGATGACATTATATAAAATAAGGAAAATAACAATAATATAATTAAAGGAATTCCAATCGAAAATTCACCAGATGGTAAATCAAATTTCGGAAAAGTTGGTATAACTAATATTGAAGAGAAACCTAGTTAATAATAGTAATAATTTTCATAACACATAATAAATTCAAATTTATATGATTTCAATAATATAATGATTTATCACCCTATAAAGAGTTTTTTTGTTGATATTCCAAAAGTTAAATGTTATTTTAGGATTATTATTTTCTTTTATATGGTAGGTATTTACGAAATTATTGTTTGTAATACTATCATAAATACATATATTAAATATGACTTTTAAACTATAGGAATCATATTTACAAAAAATTTTATTATTAAGAATTTATATCAGTATGTTTTACCTTGCTTTTGGTGGTTTTTTTCTGGATGCTGTAAATAATTCTTGAAAAAATAATATATTTTATATTTGTTTATTCTAGCTCATACTATTATCAGCATTACTTATTTAAGTTTTTATATTATTAAAATTATTGACGAAAAATTCCTTTAGTTTTTTATTATGAATTTCTGTATTTTCTTTATTATTGATTTTTTAATTTTGGAATATTTATGGCTTAAAATTATTTAAATTTGCAGAAGTAGATTCCTGTTTAATTTTGTTAAGTTTAAAAATTTTGATTGTTAATGATTTAGTTATTACTTATTATAATTTTAATAATAATAATATTTAAGAATAATAAAAAAAATTAACATATATATTTAAATTAATAAAATAAAACATAAATATATATCAAAAATTGAAAATAACAACTAAAAAAAAACTTTTTTTTAATAATACATAATTTATAATAAAACAAAAAATGAAAAAAAAAATTAATAAAAGTGGTAAGCTTCTCTCATTTGGAATATAAAATTCCCCTTTAGAAAAGTTTCCAGAGTTTAATCTTTTGTAAAATATAAGTTAAACAAAGGAAAGATTTAATGAAAACATATATAATAGCAAAAGTAGGAAATAGAGAATCCACAATAATTATTATATGGACATAATTTATAACCCAAAATCAAATAAAGGAACAGAAAAAGTATAAATAAGTAATCGATCTCAAAAAAATAAATATAAAATATAATAAACGAAATGTAATTTTTCGAAATTAGATTCTTAAGAAAGTTCATATTTTAAACGAAATGAAAATAAAAAATTAGTAAGTGCATATAATTTCTTCGAATAAATATAAAACACATCATAATATTTTAATAAAACAATAAATTAGGAAGATAAA